ACATTGCTGATCAGGATGATGATTATAAAACATTTTATTCAATTCTTGTATAAGCTTGTCAATGGAATTTGGAATTGGTTGACAAGTCTGGGGAAGTCTTGTCTAAAACAACAAAATCCAACAAGATAACTATGATTCTCACCAACCAATACATCCATCACAAATTGATCAGGGTGTCCAGTCCCTTTTATGCTTATATAGTACTTGCATATGTGTTTTCATGTGGAAAAAGGAATAATTTAAAATGAATTTGATTGGCCTTTATTAATGATAACAGATACTTGATAAAATGTACACCACATATATATGTCTGCCATTTTTTCGTTTCTTTTCTTAACAGATTTTTTTTCTTATGATAAAATTTCATATTATTATGATATGTCAATTGAAATACTAAAAGACTAGAATCTTACGCGAGTTCGCTTATATTTCTCTTAATCACAGCGCAGATAAGGAAGCACAGTCCAGTTCACGTCCCAGATGAACTATAAATCATTGGCGTAACATTAAGAACTTTAATTTTAACTACCACTGTTTAATCTGTTTAAGTATAAAACACTTGTGAATTGAGCATTGTAAATAAAAAAGGTCATAGAATGTTAAAACATGATTTTTTCAACATCTTTAAAAAACAGTAAAATCAAACTCGACACATTTTAAATTCCCTCAGATTTCCAATGTTGTGAGAACTTATGACAAACAGAAATAATGAAATATTTTAGATATATAGCTCTAGGATGACAAGGCAATGTTTCAATACTGAAAACAACTTATTTTATACTTTTAAAGTCGCTAATATGTAATGAATAATTAAGATGTTTTAGTAAAAACAAGCCTTTTTGAAATTTAAAACATGTATGGCGGCCATCTTGGTTTTTTGGGCCATTTTGGATTTTCAGAAATGGGTCCCATGCTCATTTTTCTTAAAAATCCAAAGTTTATTTGTACCAAGTTTGGTGTTTTCCCCATTTTCCCCTATTTTTTTCACAAATTGAATGGACTCACAATGGTAGAATCATAAAAATACTACATTATACAATTACATTTACATTTAATACATCAAAGCTGTACAGAATTAAAGAATAATTTAGAAGAATTGAAAATAACTACATGATTACTATAAATACTATACGATGTATCTCAAGCATTGTATTTGTACAAGTTCGAAAAGTAAAGTGCTTATCAATACCTCAAAGTTCAAATAAGGAAACGTATGCTGCAAGAGATACATGTTCTTGCAGGATCTCATTAAGTTTTCCTTAATCTAGACTAATTTTCCCCAAAGATCAAAAGTGAACCCTTCTATATCTAAAAGCGGCGGATGTTGCAACTACTATCGCACTGGTCTACTATACACTTAATGGCAGTATACACGAGTAGTTAATCGAGCTATTGTCACAGCTATACTGAATCGATTTACACATGTATTGTATGTATTGTATCAATTGACAGCTTAAACAACTATCTATTCTATGCGATTTACGTACATAGTTCGTGCAAAACGTGGTTAAAAGCGAAATATTGGCCTAGTTGAACATCCCTCATATTGACATTTTTTTTCTATTCTTAACATACGGAATGAAAATCTCAGTCCCATGGAATACTTAAAAACGGTAACACCAAACTTCAATAAAAATACTATGTCTGTTTGCCGACTTACATAACATCCTGACTAATTCGGGTAGACATGCTATGATAGCACGTCTATCCTCACGTTTTTTTAGGTATCTTAATAGATAAAAAAGAATCCCTAAAGAAAGCCCCACACGGCAAAATTGAAAATGTTGCAGGCTCGGTTTGATGCATAGATAACTATAACTGGTGGAATCTTAAAGTGATGAATATCTATATTAAATATAATCATTTTTATAGGAACATATTATATGACACGATAGCTTTACAAAGTTGTACTTAACAGTTTTTATTGTTCAAGTTTCAAATCCTTTATTAGTGAAATAATATATCATTCGAGTAGTATCCTCACTGCGTCAACATATTTATGTATTCGAGCTATTTTTAGTATTTCTAATGCTAGCATAAGCTAGTTACCCCTGTTATTGTGGTTATCAAACACACTAATCGACTAATGTTACTATTGAACCTTCAGCCAGAACTACGAAACATTAATTGTTCATTTAGATTGGCTATTTTATGCTTAAATAGAAGTGATCAGTAGTTTTGTAAATGGTTGTCAATATCACTTACGGATCTCTTCAGCACATATGGAGCAAAAATGCAATTTGGAGCAGCAATTCCTTCGTTTGTAGCCAAATCTCAATAAATGTTTACATCAGGATCATTTTTAATGTTAAGAATCGGCCTGCGGCGAGATTTCGTAAAATCGCTCTATTTTGAGTCCGTTAAGTGAAATTTTCTTCTTATGCATTGCATGTTTTGGACACACCAGAACCCACCTCAAGAAGACTTCATGGAATTCCAATACAAAAATGGCTAACATAGAGGAGAGTCAGGAGGGAAGAATCACTTTTCGATTTTCTTAAAAATAGATTTGAATTTTATATAACTGTTAAACAAGTTGAAAATTTAACCTGCGATTGACCTAATTACAGATTCACATCTGGTGCTATACTTCACATCTAGATGAGAGGAAATTCACATATACTTTTTACCGATGCTCAATTTTGAGATCCATTTAGGGATCCATTCCAGTGATTAAGTCGCCGGTGGAAGTAAGTATCACAGTTAAGATGTTATTTCTCGTAGATCAGGAGACAATTTTTAATTTCTATTTGACAATAACTATATGTAATATACGTAGATTTTCTATGCAGTATATGTGAAATTTAAAACCCGTAAATAAAATTGCTTTACGTAATTCATTTTACCATCTAGCAGATACATATGTTAAATGAAAATATAAGACAATAAAACAATATTGATGTGAGCGAAATGAAAACTGAAAGTGCATATAAGATTGTAAAGTGTGCTTGATTTTTTCCTACATCTTGGAAATCGAATTTTGCTATTAATTGACTATTCACTCGGAATGTGAATGATACAACGAGTTTTCATCATATTTTGTAATATATTTTAGGATCAATAAGTTCTAAACTTGGTTTGGCTGAACAGAATTTGCCAAAAGATCTCTGCGACAGTAACTAGCTGTTTTACACAGATTACTTCAAACCGGTATTTTATGCTCACTTTCTTGACGTTCTCAAAATAGCTTACTAACGTTTTGAACTGATACGTTGCATGCACCTTGCTTTTACCTAATAGAAATGGAATTGGTGGCAAACACATTTTTTTGCTAAATTAAAAAAAAACGAGGCATCGTGGAAGGAAAAAGAACTCGTTTTTAATCAATATTTTGAACTCGTTTCATGTAGTTTTTAATAACAACATACATGGAATTCAATATCAGTGGTATTATATGAAACAGTTACTTGTGGTACATATTTTTCTTCGTTTGTTAGTGAATCCATTATTTTAATTACATGGATTGAAAAATAAATTGCTGGAGCAATGCTTGTTTACTACTTTTTTCTTCAACTCAACTACTCAAATAACAATAAGAGCTTTAAAATTTGTATTTGCAATGGGATCTATGTTTATTTACATTGTAGCAAAACTTGTCAGTTTTTATTTTCTTATCATACTTCGTGCTCCAGTACTTATGAAGAGGATTAAATATTGCTTTATTAATAACTTTACAATATGGTACGCATAACAAATAATAAAATAAATTCTAAATTAAAAAGAAAGGTGAGTAAAACACAACATGTGCTCCAAAATCGGTAATTTAGGAGGTAAATTTGACCTTTGACCTTATTCATGGCTGAGAAAAATAGTATTCCTAATAAATTTATTTTTAACAATATGCACAACTTAACTTCTTATTAATTTTAACAAATTTTGTTGATACCTTACAAATGAAAAGAAGTATAAACGATTTTCTTGATCATATATTAGCATTTAAAAAATTGGCGGGAATATTGGGCGCCGTCTTGGATTTACCGGAAGTGCAATCCGATAAAGCGTCGCAAAAAGCTTTAAAAGTAAGAACATGCATTTTGCTACAATATGGTATAAGTCAAAATTGTATAGCGCTGGACACTTTTTTTTTGAAATTTCGGATACTGGGGCACTACTATAAATAAAATGTAATTTTGAAAGGGGATATTGAGGTTATGTAGCCTGCATGTCACAGACAAGACGTCAAAAGACAAAATTTTAAAAGCAGGCAACATATCCTAAGGTTGATTATACAGTTTTCAAGTAGGAGTACTGGAACCACCCAAGTTGAAAAAGAAACTAAAAATACCACATAACATGTATACACAAAATTATGTCGTGCTGAACGATCTTCAAGGATCGGAAATGTAACATCTTTGATTAAATGTACGAAGAGACATTTAACAGCCGCCCACGGCACTAATAACACTGATGTGACAATAAAATAGAGAAAAACAGAATCCCTAAAGAAAACCTCAACATGACAAAATTGAAAATGTTGCAGGCTCGGTTTGATTGAGCCTGTTCATGGACGGTACTGCAAAGTGCATGTTACCGTCCACGCCCCCTAGCACTGGCATAAGCAGAATTCAACATTTAAACACGAGAAAATGATGAAATTTTGAATTTTGAATTTAGAAACATCCGCAGATGTGTTCATACGGCGGTTATCATGGAACCTTCAATGTGACACAATAAATAATTAAGTTTAATTAAAGTTAAGAATTATCAAGCTTCATCCGTAAGTAATTACGATTTTTCTACCCTATATACTTCATTGCCACATATACTTATCAACGATAAATTATTATCTTTAATTAAAAAAAACCAACATTAGTACAGCAAGAGAAAACGTTACTTTTCATCCTTGTAACTCAAAGAAGGCTTTGTTTACGAATTGGATCGTTAAACCATATACAATATGGACCTGTGACGAAGTTTGTAAAGCACTATCGTTTCTATAATATAACATTTATGTAAGGTTTGGAAATACAGTTTTCAAACTGAAAATAGACATTCCAATTGGAACTAGTTATGCATTCCTGATAGCCGATTCATTTTTATATTGTTTCGCGAGGGACTTTATGCAAAGTATGTCTCTTAATTCACAACAGGAAGTTATTCATGCATTTAATATCTAGATGATGTCCTTAACATGAATAATCCTTATTTTGATCAAATGGTTACTAAAATATATCCATGTGAACTTAAATTGAATAAAACAAACTCTTTAGACATTACAATTTTTTTAGATTTAAATATTTCTATCATTAACAATATTAGAGTACATGTAACTTAAATCTATGATAAAGGGGGATTTTGATTTACATATCGTAAATTAACCACATTTAGATTGAGATGTACCTCATGCAACATCATATGGGTTATATATTTCCCAGTTGATTAGATTTTCTGGGGCGTGCAGTCGTGTGGATTATTTTAATGAATGCAATTTATTTATTACTGGCAAATTTCTTCAATAAGGCTCTCGCTATCATAGATTACGTAAATATTTATTTACCATCGTAATTAAGATTTAATTTTAAAATTCAATTGTTATTTAAAAACTCTTTTACGACTAGGTATTAGCAAAAGAAATCTTGAATCAAAGTGTTCCCTCGAAAGTATTAAATACAACAAAATTACTTGAAAATAGCAGTCTCGGTTTGATTGAGTCTGTACATGATTCTGAATTCTATAGAGATGTTGTTTACAAACGCCGAAGGTTCATGGTTTAAAGTCATTTGTTTTGCTGTCTTCACTAAAATAATCAAACGTTTCTTTTACAAATTGAACCACTTATTTTAAGTCATACATTATGCTTAGTATTCAAGCCTTTTTACAGTTGGACACTACGTTTTTCTCTTTTGGACTCCTTAAAGCCTTGCGGACAGAACTGTTATAATCTTCGCCTTCTGTCTTGCTTCGTCTGGCCCTTGTGTGGGTGGGATTTTCGTGTTGCTATGCCTTCCTTAATGTCATTGAGTTATTGTTACGGTAATCAGCCGGTTGGAAGATATTTACATGTTTTTATGTATTTATTTATTTATTTTGTCTAATGTAACCATGACTTGGCGGTATTTGTTTTATTTACACTCGTCATATACAAACATATTATGGCTAAGAGTGAGGTTTGGCGCGCCTAACCCGGTTTAAACTCCCCAGTGGTGTTATTACAACTGATCGTTCTAAGGCTGTACCTTGCTGTGTCCCTTCACATGTGTGTGTTTGTTACATGGTTTGAACGTTTGCGCGTTTTGTGATGTCCTATCTTGTTACATTAGTGTTAACGGTAAGTAGTTTCTTCCCATTCCCCCTCTCGTCCCGTTTTGTGCTCTTCTCCTCCGGTTTTCCTCACACTCATTGTTCCTTTAATCCTGAATTGGCCCCTTTTAGTTAGTTCTTAACATTTTAGTTATTGCATATCCCTCCCCTCCTTACCCCGCCCTTGTATCATCACTCCATTTTTAGTTCGATGCCTTCTAGGTGCCCTATTGGATTGTGTCTTGGCTGCGTCCTGTGAACGTCGCCTGGCCTTATTGATTTTTTCCCAAATATTTTTTCTCATCATTTCTGAACATAGGAGTTACAAATGTTGTTCATGTCAACAGCTATTGTAGCTCTGCCAGTCAAACAGGAATGAGTATTGATCATGTTATGATTTCACAAACAACGTTCATGATTCTTTATAATCACATTTTGACCTTAAAAACAAAAAGTAACATATTTAGTGACAAATCAAACAATGTACATCATTCACTCATATATATTATAAATCAAAGTATTGCAATCACACAACTAACATTATTATTCTCACATTCAATGAAAGAAATAAAGCATCAATTTCTCATATTTTCTCTATCAAAGTTTTAGAATAAAAAATATAAACAATATCATATCTTTGTTCTCATGCTTATGTTCAGTTATATATATAATAATATATTTATAATTTTTTGAACAATATTAAAGACAGCTTGAAAATAGTTACTAAATGATAACTATTATACAATCACATGTATTTTATGCATTGTATTTGTACGAGTTCGAAAGTAATTTGCTCATGGAAATCATCAAAAGTTCAAATTATGAAAGCTGTTATCAAAATGGGAAACGTTTGTACTAGTAGGTTCCAATCATTTCTGCACATAGGAGTTTTAAATGTTATTCATGCCAATGGCTGTTGATGCTCGGCCCGGTGAAATAGCAAGGAGTGTAATGTTAATCAAATTAAGATTTCACAAACAACGTTCTCCCATTACATTTGTGAGTCTTAATAATCAGACTTTGACTGAAAACATGAGGATAAACAAGTTTAGTAAAAAAATCAAACAATAAACATGATTTTTTGCATATTTTCTGTATTTATCCTCTACAATAAAACAAAATGCACTATTCTCTCATTTGATTTCTACATCAAAGTTGTACAATCATACAATAAAAATTCATCTCTTATATTTTCTGTACCAAAGTTCTACAATTAAAAATAAACTTCTGCCTCTCATACTTTCTATACTTATCTAATGTTCTACAATCAAGCAATAAACACCATTCCCTCATATTTCTATATCTAAGTTCTGCAATCAAACAATTAACGTCATAGTCAAATATTTTCTTTGAATATAAGTTCTCAAGCTGATGTTCAGTTACAAAAGTTTAATGGTAGAATTGGTTTCTTCTTCAACTTGGTTGATTCCTTCTTTTAGTTTTAGTGTTGCATATGAGCCTTTCTTTTTAATGCTTTCCCCAATTACCATTGAAATTAACTGTACGTTATCTGAATTATCTTGATCGTCTGTACAAACTATTGCGCCACTATCAAGTTCTTTACAGAAAACCTCCTTTTCCTTTCCTTTAGTTATGTCATCTTCGACAAAAATAAAATTTTCATCCATACATCTATCTCTAACACCTTCAATCTTTGGCATTGTAACAGTTCCACGTCCTAATGGCGTACATGCTCCACATATTTGAACTGGAAGCCCCTTCATTTGTTCCGTGGTGTATGTAGTTAAAACGCCTTTTGCACTTTTGTTTTCTGATGTTTTATATGTTGTGTCGAATTCAGATGTATCCTCCTTGAAGGAAATTGCCGCAATGTCTAAGACATTTTCGTGATTATCAGCAAATGATTTATCAATATCAACAGATGCTTCTGTTGTTTTCCCTTCCGAAAGGATGAGTGCATTGGTTGCAGGACTGTCACCAATGGTAAAAACATGTCGAGACACTAACCCGATTGTTTTACTTTCATTGCCACTGCATGATTTAGCAAATCCACCTAATGTTCCACTCCTTCTGGTTTCGTCATCATCAAAAATTGCTTCAGCTGTTGACCCAACCTTACAAAATTTTTTGATATTTAACGGCTCTACGGAAAATGATACGATTTTGTGTTTTCTCAGCAGGTACTTCAGGCTAATTTTTAAATTCTGGGGATCGCAATCTTCATCAACAAAAATGACTAAAGTGAAACCGCGGTATCCGCAACTTCTTATGTATGAACTTTTGTTTTTTAGATCTTCCTTCAACTGAAAATTGATAAAATGAGTTTTTATCACTCGAATGTAATTGTGTAAAGTTTAAAACTACTAATCAACATTCATATATAAAAACAGATTTATTCATTATTAAAAATGTCGTTTTGCATGTAAGACTTTTAAGAGACAGATTCGTTCAATTTTTACTTTCTTTACAATACCTACAGTAACATTTAAAATATTATGAAAAAGCCTCGCTCTTTGGAGCAGTAGGGCATGACAAAAATGAAACTGACAGATTCAGTTTGACCTGAACTGCTAAATACCAGATATCTTATCGTGTTTTGTATGTAAGTTTTTTTAGGCTATTGTTAAAAATTACTTTATATTATGTTTTAAGCTACATATTATGGAACTACCTGTTTAGTGATGCGTTTGTCTGTAACAAGTGGTCTTTCATCATCTGGGATTAAACTTCGATTAAACATGCCAAGCATTTCATCAGAGAGGCGCTCTTTTCGCTGAATTGTCTCTAAAGATTGGTATCATATATAATATAAAAGTCAAAAATATTAAAACTTCACAGAACGATTTTTATCAAAACCAAAACAAAATTGCCCAAATTCACCAATATTTGTCTTTGACATATTTTAATTTTAAAAGCTGTATCCCATACGATGCCTTTACAATGAAATAATCTTAAGTTTTACTTGAATTTTCTCATGAAGGAACTGGTATACTGGAAATTATTGGACTTTTATATGATTTTATATAAAAGGCATCATACGAAATCTTGTATTTCATAAATGCAGTTAATTACAAGAGAGACAACCCTGGTTTGTCATAAAGTCATATCTATACCAGCAATCGGAACATCCTCGGCTATTATTCATAATTACCTCGGAAAAGATACGGAGTGAAAGTAGTTCTACCACGTGGTTCCAAATGTAAACAGAAACAAAGAGTGTAACATTCGATAATGTAAAAGAAATATATAATTATGTGTTAAATTGGTATGGCCCTCCTTGTGTCTTTCAAATATACGAGCATGGAGTCAAAATATATATTTTTGCTAACACGCCACATGGGCGCGCAGTCAAAAATACATGTAAATGCCCAAATGGGTTTTGTTAGTAAATATATTATATACTAAGTATGACACTTCCGACTTCCGGAGTTATGTATATATTTGTATGACAATTCTGACTTCCGGAATTACTAAATATATACATTTATGTTAGAATTGCCAATACGCCATATTGGCACGCAGCCAAAAATGTTTTATGCCAAATGGGCTTTGTGATGCCAAATTGGCTTTTAATTTGTCGCCAAATGGTTTTTTTTAATATTTTATTTTATTTTATTTTTTTCGGCTTCGAATTTTTAAAGCCCAAAAAAGTAATACTTATAGTTTGTCTTAATTTTTTTAAAAAAATTTTTCATATCTTGGATTAAAATTGGCTTAAACACCAAGCATTTATCAAGAAGCCCTTTTCGCTTTGTCTTTAAAATGGGTTTTAAAAAATTCCCTTTTGGCAATATGGTTTTATTTCACTGTGTTTAAAAACGTTTGTTGTTCTTCTGACTTTCGGAATTTTAAAAATACATTTTTAAAATTTTTATTGCTTATTACTTTCTAGGGGGCATTAAAACTTTTGTTATGTCAGATAGTCCCTTTTTTTCTGCCAGATGTTTTATTTAGTAAATTAAAATATTTGTGTTTGTTTTTACAATAAAAGTTAAACCTTTCAGGAGTTATTTAAAAAAATTTTTTTTTGCCATTTTGTCGCTGTTTATGTTTGGGTATTTATCCAAATTTGTTCAAAATAATGTTTTTTTTTTTTCCCTTTTTTAAAAAGGATTAATGATAAGGTTTAAAATAAATTTAAATTGACGGTTAATAAAAAATTAAGGAGGGGAAAAAAATTTTTTTCCGGTAAA